AGGGAGCAAATAGTCGACTATTCAACTACTTGCTATGAATGAGCTCTTCTTGTTTCAAGTCTTCGCAAACTCTTTACTATCATTAGGGTGTCTAGCCCTCTTCAGAGTTTTCTTTGTATGCTAGTGTGCCAGGCCAATTTCCAGGCCAGCTGAAGACAAAGACCTGATAATTTTTTCCCTTACTTAAATAGTCTTCTCCCCTGGGCTGGAATCCTTTGTTCTTTTCCCTTCTATGGAAAACTAGCTGGTCAGATTAGAATTCCTGTACTATTTGGTATGGTCACATGTCTTACTACTTTGGACTTAAGGGATAAAGGAGGCTGTTTACAAGTCTTTAATTTGATGACTCAGTCATCAAGGCTTCCAGAGCACCAGAGATGCAATTTCATACTTGGTATTTTTAACTTTTCATTCAAGAATGGATAGGGTACATGAGGGATTTTGTCCAAAACATCTCCCGAGTTATGCATATTTATGTTTATAAGTTTTGTAAATCATGGGGGAACCATCACAATGAGATCAGCCTTAATTAATGTTAAGGTATTGGTTTTTTAAAATTGTTGAATACTTCTCAAAGAATAGCTCCTATGAGTTGTTAGAAATGTTCCCTTTTACATACCGGGAATTCCTTGGAGTATTTTATGTTTGCAGTGCTGCAACTCTATTGGTCCTAGGGTATTAGAGTGGCAAGCAAGGGGAGGAGTTAACAGGGCACTTCATCTTGGATGGTCCCTTAGAATGTGTGTTAATTATTCATACTACACATTTTGTTCCATTTTGTGTTTAGCTGTGACACCCTGAGTACCTTTCGCAAACCCATGAGAGAGTTGTGTAGATGGTTTCTTTCACAAACAAAAGGGGGTGCTGTGGTCATTATGAATAAGTCCAACTATAACCAGGAGGCAACCAGACAACTCTCCAACACCACATTTTACAAACCTCTCTCTTCTGATTCCACCTCAGAATACCACAAGAAACTACATTGTCTCCTTAAAGACCTCTCTACATCTACTCAGGACCAAATCCACACAGAAACACCTTCTGACCCTCGCCCAGGATTGTTCTATCTGCTTCCCAAAATCCATAAACCTGGATACCCTGGATGTCCCATCATCTCAAGTATCGGCACGCTCGCTACTGGATTATCCAGCTATATAGACTCTCTTCTCAAACCCTACGCAACCAACACTCCCAGCTATCTCCGAGATACTACTGACTTCCTGAGAAAACTACAAAACATCAGTAACTTCCCTGATACTACCATCCTGGCTACCATGGATGTAGAAGCTCTATACACCAACATCCCACATAAAGATGGATTACAAGCAATTAGAAACACTATCCCAGAGGACACCACTGCCAATCTGATAGAAGACCTATGTAACTTTGTTCTCACCCACAATTATTTCCAGTTTGAGAACAACTTATACCTCCAGATCAGCAGCACAGCCATGGGTACCCGCCTAGATCCACAGTACACTAACATCTTTATGGCTGACTTAGAACAACGCTTCCTCAGATCCCGTCCCCTTTTACTCCTTTTCTATTTACGCTACATTAATTACATCTTTATGATCTGGACCCACAGCCCAGAAATACTGGAGACATTCCACAGAGATTTTAACAACCTACACCCCACCATCAGTCTAAACCTGGACCATTTTACATGAGAGATCCATTTCCTGGATACTACAGTACAAATCACCAATGGTAAATTAGACGCCACTCTCTACAGAAAACCCACTGACTCATACAGTTACTTTCATGCCTCCAGCTCCCATCCAGAACACACCATACGATCCATCGTCTATAGCCAAGCCATTCGATACAACCGCATCTGAAATAATTTATGCCATCATGTGCCGACAGTGTCTGTCTACTATGTACAAATGTCTCAGACGCTTCACTAAAGTATCAATGTACACAAAATGGACATCAGACAGTATCACAAAGAAAAAACAGTTTCTAGCCATTTCAACCAGAAAGGGTATTGTCTCAACGACTTGATTACCTGCATACTGCTTCAAAGGCATTTTAACACCAGACTTGAAAGAGAAACTGCTGAACTGTCATTCATGCTTATATTTGACACTTTACGCCAGGATCTTAACAAAGACGCTAATTATCTTACCCGTTACAAAGATAGCTTCCCCAATTATCACCTCTAATATGATTAGCTCACAGACATTTACTCCCCCCCATCCCTCCTCTGTTCTGAAATTTGATTTGTCCTTTTTGTATGTGTTCACTTTTTTTGATTGTATCCCTTTTGATATACAGGCAGTCCCAGGGTTACGTACAAGATAGGAACTGTAGGTTTGTTCTTAAGTTGAATCTGTATGTAAGTCGGAACTGGCGTCCAGATTCAGCCGCTCCTGAAACTGACCAGTGGCTGACTACTGGAAGCCTGAGGCAGAGCTGCTCTGCCCCGGGCTTCCTGGAATCAGCCTCTGATCAGTTTCAACAGGCTGAATCTGGACTGATGAGTTGTGGTCATAACATTTGTAAGTGTTGAAGGGCCAGTGCATGGAACTAAGGTCAGAGATATGGAGTAAATTGGGACAAGATCCTGAAAATAGTTTTCCCTCTTCCTGTCCGCCCCAGAAGAATAATGAAATAATGCATCCACGTTTTTGTGAAAATGTCCCTTTCAAAATCTTAGTAATGATTTTTAATTAGCAGGTGGTCTCTGTGTTGTCTTTAAGTGTTTATCATTATAAGAATCCACAAAGCATAGAATACCCATTATATTTACAAATGAAGAGAATTTTGTTGGAAAGCTCTTGTTTTACTGTTGCGGAATTAAACACCTAAGTGCAATCCACTAAATGTAGCATTATATCTGGCCTGCTTTCATTGTGCACACTATAAAATAAAATTAACTTTTTTATAAATTCAGAAAAAGATAAGAATCAGTTAATGTATTTACCTGTAGAACATTAAACACACTTTCTTTTCTTTTTTAAGAGTCTGTTTCCTTTCCCATTCTTTTTAGGTGTTGAGTGGGATCTTCAAAAGTGCCGAAGCAGTTAGTTTTAAAAATTCCACTACAGGCAGTCCCCGAGTTACGCGGAAACCAGCAGACCAGGGAGACGGGAAGCAAAGCCTCTGAGGGCGCCGGCAGCGGGACAGCCGTGGCGCGTCTGGGCTGTCCCGCTGCCGGCGTCCTCAGAGGCTTTGCTCCCTGTCTCCCTGGTCTGCTGGTCTCCAGCAGACCAGGGAGACGTTGAGCAAACCCCGTTCGTAACTGCGGATCCGACATAATTCGGATCCGCGTAACTCGGGGACTGCCTGTATATGGTCATGCCTATTTTCTTCCACAATTTGATCTGAGGAAGTGCGTCTGGCCCACGAGAGCTCATCACCTAATAAACCATCTTGTTAGTCTTTAAAGTGCTACATAGTCCTGTTTTTTGTTTCAGCTAGACTAGACTAACACGGCTATATCTTTATTACAGTAAAAGATACTACCTCATCTATATGGTCTCTCAAAACGTTTGACGCTGTTCTTGAGTATGGAATATGGGAAAACTCTAGATCATACAGTTTTAGGAGTTTTATGGCACTCTTCAAAGGTATATGCAAATAAAAAATCTGTACAGAGGGAGCTAGAGACTAGCATATGCAAATTTGATTTGCAACACGTGTGAATTCAGCCTAAATTCTCCCATTTTACCTATAGGGTGTGTCAACAGAACTCAGCAGTTTTGTCGATGGCTGTAAACCTCATTCTACGAGGAATAGCACTTCTTGTCGACAGAAGGTGTTACTGCATCTACACTGTCCTTTGCATCTACACTGTCATGTCGACAAAGCAAGCTGCTTTGTTGACAGAATTGGATGTAGTCTAGATGCTCTTTGTCGACAGTATCTGTCGACAACTTCTGTCGACAAAAGCCAGTAGTCTAGATGTACCCATATAGGACAGCAAAGTGCTTCTGTTTCTACAAATCTGCTATCCATAAGATTTTATATATAGCTTTCCCACTTCCTCCACCATCCTCCCACACACAGGTACACACATACATGTACATACATCAAGCCTGATATATTTGCAAAAGAATTTCCATCATAATTAGGAATTTTGGACAAAATTTGAACTCTGGATGCTTAAATCCATACTTACGCATCCAAATGGATATGACCTGTTTTCAAAGGATCCAAGCAGCTCCCATTTCCTTTTGAAGTCCTTGATGTATGTTGTTTTATATAATATAATATAACATAACATAACATAACATAACATAACATATAACATATAACATAATTAATATATAGCTTTCAGATAATGTGCTCTATATTATTTATTGTAGGAGGGGCTGGTAGAAACTATTATTAAGGTTGCTTGACAATTTCCATTATATGTAAAATCAATGTAAAGAATATTTCATTCAATCACCATACTAAAAAAAAAAATCAAGAAAAATTAATAATCATGTTTGTCATTAAACAGTTAGGTATGTAATTTGTACTTCAGTAAATGGGTAATTTATTCTGTGAGATAATTTGAGAGAATGTTTTGAAAGATAAAGTTGATTACAGAGAAACGGGTAGATAAATCATGTTAACTTTCTTTAGCTAGCTTCACTGAATGCTCTTTTAACCTTAACAGTAATATACAGCTTTGCAGTTAATGCAAGAGAACATTACCAAAAACTTACCAGGATGCATGAGAACATGGAAAAGCTCTATCAAAATGTGATGGGATACTATGCTATTGATTTGAAAAAGGTTTCGGTGGAAGAATTTTTAACCGACTTGAACAACTTCAGGACAATGTTCTTGGTACAGTATGTCAATTTCTGTTAAAAATTGTTTTCTAGGAATCATTTGTTTTATACTTCAAATCAGAGATGTTAAATTGTGTTTAATCAACCAATCGACTAGTCGATAGAATTTCCGTCTACTAGTCATTTAGTCAATAAGAAGGGGGAACCGCGGAGCCACTGCAGGGTTAGCTCCTGACCTCAGGAGCTAACCATGCTGCAGCTCTGCCTTTTAAATGTATAAAGAGCCACTACTCAACTATCTGATAAGCTTATGCTTGTCAGACAGTTCACTAGTCACTTATATCACTATTTCAAATATTGATGAGCTATTCAATAATTTGTCATTTTGACACATTTTGATACATTCATATCAGAAACCTGACTTTCTGCATCCCAGATTCTATGATGTAAAGATAAAGAAATATTCATTATCTTGAAATTCTCCATGCTATCAAAATGAGAAAGCTGAATTGTTATAAATCTTAAAACTCAGTCCTTGATTTGAAATTTAACATTGAGGAATTTGGGGGTGGCAGAGAAGAAATGAGTTTGAAATTATTTTCTTCTGTTTATAAGGAACTTCTCCTGTCTGACTCACTATACGATACTTGAATGACCCAAGAATTTCTTAATATAAACTTGAAATGGGTTCCCAAAATCACGTGAATCTGATGTGTATATTATAGTTCAGTACAGAATATCATGAGGTCTCAAATAAAAGTTGTTGTTAGTCTTGTCCTTAATATTGTTGTGACATTTGTGTAGAGATATTTATGTATATATACTGAAAATATGTTTTAAAAGCATGCCAAGGTAATAGTCACCTGCAAAGATTTTTAAAAAATAGGATTTCCTTCCATATCCTCTATTGCTTTTTCAGGAGGTAAATGAAACATCGTAAGATCATACAATAGATGCCTATTTACATAAAAAATTAATAGGAAAAAAGCACAAAGAAATAAACCAGCTTCAGAGATTATCCTGTCTATGAGCAAAAACAATGAATGTAGGGGTGTTGTGCTGGCTACTTCCCAAGGCAACACCAGTCCTGCCTTTTGCATAAAATAGGGAATAATGTTATCAATTATAGAACCTTCATAAGGATTTTTTTTGTTTTCATGGTTTACTGGATTTTTTAGTATATCCTAAATGCCTAGGTTTTCTGGGAAAGGGGGTTTCTTTTTTGTTTTTAAGAGGTTCACTCTTTGGTGTCCTTTTATTTAAGGATGGATAGGATTTTTTTAGAAGCAATTTTAGTTGCATAGATTAAAGAAAATACATTAGACGAGCCTCTAAAATATTAATCTTTTAACTTTTGATGATTTTTCATGATCTCTCAGAAGCTGGCAATGGATCTCTTGATAATTACCTGTTCTGTTAATTCCCTCTGCAATTGGTCACTGTTGGAAGACAGGGTACTGTGCTAGATGGACCTTTGGTCTGACCCATTATGGCTGTTCTTAATCTGGATGTCACAGTTACAGGTGCTTAAAAACATCTGAAACATAGTTGCAGCACCTGTCACTTTTTCACACTGGTGATAGTTGATCAACCATTGAACACTTGTCTGTCAAAAAGGAATTATGATAACATTTAAGTTGACTAAGTTATAGGATCTGGCAAATGGAGTTGTTAAAGGGGACTTATTGTTTCATTAACTGCAGGGGATACTCTAATGTTATTTAAATGTAGTGTTAATAAAGAGGCACTAATGATGAAGATGTTATTTGATAATTACACTATAACATTTTAATATGGTAGTTGTTAAATCAGCATGCAGTTTGAAATCAGATTTCTTGCTTTTTCTTTTAATTTTTGGTGCATAGTATGTGGTAAAATGTTATAGATTTGCATAATTAAGAGGCATTAGATATGCTTACAGTTAAAACCAATATCTGTGTATAATTAAATTTTACAAATGAAGAAAAGATTATTTTGAAAGCTAAACACTTTAAAGGAGCTATGTATATGACCGACAAATCCAGAGAGTATAGTATATTTTTATTTGCTTCTACTTAGCATGTTGATGTGCTTGCTGTATTTAATACATTGGGTCAGTATTGGACTAAAAAGAAAAACCCACATCTATCTGATAAGTACTTTGTTATAATTCTGCGCTGTACAATTGGGCTACCTCCAGACTGCATCCCTCTGTCGGCAGAGGGATGCAAATAAAGCACTTTGAAAGTGCAGATGAGCCCGGGATTTAAATATCCCGGGCTTCATTTGCATACTCACATTCCGGCGCTGTGCCAGTCACTCATTTTTTGAAGAGTACAGGATCTGTCGAAAAAACTCCCCGCTGTCGGCAGAACCGTGGCTACACAGCACTTTCACTTTCGAAATGGTGCATGATTGGCACAGCGCCAGAACGTGAGTATGCAAATGAAGCTCGGGATATTTAAATCCCAGGCTCATTTGCACTTCCAAAGTGCTTCATTTTCATCCCTCTGCCGTCAGAGGGATGCAGTCTGGAGGTAGCCGTAGAGAGGAGAGGGAGAGGATGTGCAATATTTCTGTGTGGAACAATTATCTTCCTGATGGCTTAGGAAGGAAGAAAAGTTAGTCCTTACAAATAGGCTAACAAGTGGCATTTGAATGTCTGGTCTGGAAAAAAAAAGACAGAAGTATGTAGCACTTAAAGACTAACAAGATGGTTTATTAGGTGATGAGCTTTCATGAGCCAGACCTACTTCCTCAGATCAGTATGTGGAAGAAAATCAGCACAACCATATATACCAAACGGATACAATCAAAAAAATGAACGCATGTGACATTGAGAAATCAAGTTTTAGAACAGAGTGGGGGTGAAGGGGGAAGGTTAGTGTCTGTGAGGTAAGGTTTGGTTGTGACAGGAAGAGGGGATATGCCTGGAATGGGATTGCTTCTCATAAAACTATACAGAAAAGAGAGAGAATCACCAGGCAGATGAAAGGGGCTGACTGCCTTACCAAACCCCCCATTTGCCCCCCACACACATCTCTCCCATTTGGGACTGTCCCCGCCATGAACCTCCTCCCGCCCCCCAGGGCCCTTTACGGAAAGCAGGGAGACTGAAACTTCCCCCCACTCTCCGATTTGTACAGAAATATTGGCTGTTCCTTTTCATCGGAGAGAAAGAGAAAAGTTCACAGTTTCCTGCATTCCTCACTCTGGCTGGAGAGTGCAGGGGGCTGATGAACCTGGACCTGAACCAGCTGGCAGACATGTACCCTTCCTTTTCCTTTGTCCACTGGAGCTGCAGCAGCCATGGAGAGGCACTTCACACTTGGCCCCAATCTGCTTTGGTGAGAGGGGACTGGGGTAGTCCTCTCTCCCTGGGGCAGCTTTCATACTGAACCCCTCCTCTCTAGCCCCACCT